GCGACCTAGAATATGGAAAGATTTTTGACTGAAATAAGCAATGCTCCATTTTCCCCTTTTTAATAAATAGATTCAAGATAATAGTATTATTATCAACTCGCTGTTATAAGCCATCTTGATGGATGATGTTTACCATCGCTCGCAATTTATTGGCTACGCCTTTCGCTCTCTGGCGTTTTGCGGATGGCCAGCGAAACAGCGCTAGAGAGAATCAAATTTGCTAAGTTAAAAAATTGCTTTTCTCAAACTGCTTTTTCTTTTGCCAGAGATTGTCTGTGTGAACTAAGCTAAACGCCCTTTAAAGAAATTTGGTCAGTGACCAAATATATTGTAATTGTCTGACAGAAGGTGCAAATGATTTTATTTATCTTAAAATAAACTTTATCTTAAAACTAGGATAGAGACATCGCGCGACAATCCCTATCCTAGGTTTTCGTAATTCTATCGCGATACAACAAAGTCACGATAGAATTGAGGCGGAGCCGGAAAGAAAGAGGAGATCCTTGCACCTGGTAGGCACGAATAGGTGAATCTTTCACCATTACCGTCATGGAGAAACGATTCAAGAACACGGCGATTGCTTTGTTCTTCAGTTTTGTTAATTTTTCTCGCAAATTTTCCGTTAGGCGAGCTCTATCGTGTCAGAGAGCATAGACGTTGTCACTTTGATCCAACCTTATCTCGAAAAAACCCACGGACTCTGTTTTTTAATATATTTTTGGATTCCTCATCGCAATTAATGGAAAATGATAATGTTTTATCAACATCGATCGATTAAATTTTGAGAAAAAATATAATTCTATAAACCACATAGAAAAGGCTTCGCTAGCATTCCGCCTCAATTGCTGAATCTTAGTTGTTTTAAACATTTAAAAATCAACAAAATTCCCTGACATCTATTTATTGTAGTTGATGGATTTGTAAGATGGCAAATAACAATGTGATCATTTAGTAATGTCAATATAGTCACAATGATATTACTAAATGACAATTTTCCAAGCCATTTATTGCTGTCTATTGAATATCATTGTCTCATTCAATAGAAAAACAATGATGCCACTAGGAGTGACACTTCAGGGTTGGATTCATTGGTTTACTTATTCATTCTTAGCCTAAAGTCTCCTACCAGGCAACATATCTGTTATAAAATAAGCAAAGAAATAAATTATCGAAAGATTTATTGAATTTAACACTACATAAATAGAAATTGCTATTCAATCATTAATAAACCAGCATATTGCTCGTTGCTCTTGTAAAAAAGTATATTTTTTATTTTTTAAAACATTGTTTATTTTTTTTATTTAAAAGAAGCAGACATTCTTTGTGGTCGCATAACAGAGAAGGTAGCACCGCGCGGCGCAGAGAACTCTAGCAGCAGCAGTCTGAGTGAAAGGCGTTTTTGACACTTAAAACGCCGATGTTTTCATTACAAGAACAACGCGTAATTATTCGTTTTCTGCACTTGTGTGGAGTGACACCCACCAAAATTCATTGCCAGTTGAGTGACATATGCAGTAATGGTGTCATGGATATGAAAAATGTGCGTTCGTGGGTGCGACGGCTCAAAGAAGGGTGAACATCGTGTGACAACGAACCGAAATATCTATGCCCGCGCACCAACCGGTCTGACAACATGAATTGCTTCCAGAATTGCGAGAAAATCGGCCGGAAAAGGCTGCAAGTGTGCTCTTTCATCAAGACAATGCTCCAGCTCATCGGACGATGTTAACACAGGAGTTTCTTCGTGAAAACAACTTTGAAGTGGTTTCTCATGCTCCCTACTCACGTGACCTTGCTCCTAGCGATTTTTGGCCTTTTTCAACGATTAAGAACACTCTCCGTGGTTGTACATTTTCCATTCGTGCCGCCGTAGCATTGGCGATTTTCCAGTGGTCCAAACAGTCCCCTAAAGAAGCGTTCGCAGCGGCCATGATGTCATGACGTCGACGATGTGAAAAATGTGTTCGTCTGCAGGGAGATTATGTTGAGAAGTGACGGATGTTTCAATTTGTTTGTATAAGTATTTTGTAAGAAAAAAAAGGGAAGACCTTAGAACTTTAATGTACTGTACCACGTATGTACTGTACTTAACTGAATTAAATGAAAAATGTGGAAAAACAAAGCTTTGTCCAGGTGTTGGCTACACACAAAATACTGTATCTAACAATATATTATCAGTATATAACGTTTTAATCGCTAACATTAGTGATCCTAGAGATTAAAGCACCGCTACTGTATACACGAAAATGAGCATTCACTCAAGCTGTGTTCAGACTGGCACTTACGTTACGTCAAAGTAATTGTGTATATTGGCAATATCATTGCCTCGGGATTTGTGTACATTGGCAACACTAATGCCTTGGGATATGGAGTGGGGTATAAACGGATAACAAAGGAATCCGTGCCCTTTGTCCGGCCAGTTTAAATGAAATGAAATAAAGGTGATTGTAAGGAATCATGGATTTATTTTTTTCCTAGTTGTTAACGTAAGACATAATAGACACGTCTGTCTGTTTCGTTACGTTACTTGCAATTACGTACTGTACTGGTGTTCACACGGGCAAATTGATTTTTATGATTAGTTACTCAAGTATCGACATTTTTATCATTCTTTTTCCTAGGATTGTATAAAATGGGATATTTTTTATTTCAATAATTAGGTTTACGTCTTTTCATAAGTTTCCCTCTATTTTTTCTCCTGTAGTTCCTGCGAGCACACGAAATATAGAACAATTTTGATTGGCTCTGCATAAGATCCAGCCAAAATTAACTTAAAATCGGTTTTATCATAACGACGTTTTGCTCCCAAAATGGCTTCCTGGCATGTAATAACGTTATTATATAACGTCACTTAAGTAAGGTTACATATACTGTACCTGTCTGAACGCAACTTCACACTTGAAAGCTCCAGCTGTAAACTAAACAGATGGTTTGTTTAATGTTTTTAATTGACAAGTCGGTATTGCGCGGTAACACGATACGTGCTAATTTTAATTATCTGTAAGGTTAAAGATTCATTCTATAACACATGTTGATTATAGAAAATTAATTAGTTAACTGTTTTGATGATGTTTATTATGTGAATTATTGAAATCAGATTTTTTTTTTTAAATTGGATTTAATGTTTAATACCAATGAGTGAAACAATAGTTTAATTCTAAATTTAGAAACTGGAGAAATGTAGTGTAAGTGGCAAAATTAGCACTAATAAAAGTCTCAACGTTCGGAAATCATCGGCATTGTAACTAGTCGTTACATGATTAGGCTACTACGTTTTACTGTATATCGGAGCGCACTTGTAATTACATGATCTTCATCTTCTTCTCCTGAAGGTTATGATGTAATTACGTGATCGATGACTCCGACTCAACCAATTTACTATACTTCAAAAAAGTATTTTGCGTACCTATTTGTCATTCTGGCCTGATCCCAACATGCAATTCAGATGAAAGTAAACGATTTTCGAGACTACAATGTCAAATTCACTATTAATTCGAACAATAATACATGATTCGTCTAATAGTACCATTATTCGCTGAATGTCTAAGGGTTATTGGACTGCAATTTGAAAAATTTATAGATCTATAAATTCCTCTAGTAGGCATCTCTCCATCCGTCCGTTGTCTGTCTTTTTCAATGTTAAGAATAATGTTAGATAAATGAAATTCAAGACAAGACATGGAAAAGTTAGGAGCAGCAGACCCCGATTAACTATATAAACTATATACAAACTTGTAAATAGAGAGTCACGTTATTTGAATTTAAAAATTTCTCCCGAAAGGAGTTATATAGATGACCGGCACGACTCTATTACTAACAGGAAAAGTATGATGTACAGGGGCAAGACACTACTAATTTGAGGTGGAGAGCATACATTTTGAATTAAAAAATTATTAAAAACATGATAAAAAATTGCATCTCGGCATTATGATCACGTCATAATAAATAATTGCACGTTTTGTATACATTTTTCTTAATCTTAAAACATTTTATATATATTTTTATATTAGCTTCTAAACAAATGGTCACTGTATTGAGGTGGCCATTATTGGAGGTTCGACCGTATAAGATAACAATTACAATTATCGGAATTTTTAATTTGTATATATATTTTTTTCAATTTTAATTTTATTTATATTCAAAATTAAAACAAAATACAATACAACCTCTAAATAGCGGACACTGTCAAGACCGAGAAGTTTGTCCGTCATTTACAGGTAAATATAATAAATATCCTGTTTGAAGGGTGTTGAAATTGTAAAAATCTCCGTTAAGTAGTGGTGTCCGCTATTCGGAAGTGTCCGTTAACGAAGGTTTCGCCGTTTAAATAAACCAAAGCGCGTAATATATATATATTACGCGCTTTGGTATATATATATATATAATACAGTTAATTCAGATATCATTTCAACTTTTCAAAAAATGTCCTACAAAATATAAATTAAATCGGATTTAAGCAATAAAATAATTGAAGACGGCTCGAGACAATCAATTTATGAATGTAGTAAAGGTTAAAAAAAATCAATTCTAATCTAAAGCTATCAGCATTTTATGTGTAGTAAACAATTGACGATAATAAATGATAAAAGAATTTAATTTTTTTTTTAATTTTTAGGCTTATTCACAAAAAGTTTAAATTCTCGTTTAAGTTTAAGAAAAAAATTATCAATAATTAAAAAAAATATATATTAAAAAAATTAAATTTTGTATTAATCGATCTGAGGGATTGAAATTATTTTTTTAGCAAATTAAATATTTTCTAATTTTTTTAAAATTGAATTTAAAAAGATTATAACATTATTTAAGAGAGTTTGTTTACTACAGAATGTAAACATTATAGTCTCAGACACGCCTATCAACAAATGAACTCTCGAAGCATGTTTCGTGTTGATTTTATAATTTTCCTCGTAAGAAATTAATGAAATAAAACGATAGAAAATTAAAAAAATATATATATTAATTTTTTTCACTTTCTTATTAATTTAAAGGTCCACTGAATACAAATTGTTACGTCTTCTCGGATTCGTCGAAATTCCCATTTGTTTTGACGTTCCTTGTTTCTACGGTTGACGTCCCCGTCGTTTCTAAACATTGAATGGACGCCATTACAGTGGTCGAGCGATCGGCTGGGATAATTTCATTGACATCTCATCTTGCCGTTTTAAACTAAAATAATTATGCTGTTTGATAGATTATATTCGTATTGGTTTAAGTGAGATTAAAATGGATCGTTATGTCAACAAAAATGCCGGACGTAGCCGCAAAAAACCGTTCATTTAGTGGATCTGGGATGGTGTTTACAATCTGAAGCCAACATGTCATCCATCATCCGAACTCTTTAAACTGATTAAGAAATTAATTTCTATCAACCAAATTGTATGCGATGGAGCTAAAATGAAGATGGTAAGTCTTTCTAATTCTTAAATAATCGTGGATTGCTCGAGAGCTGTCATTTATCAGTACACAGGTCTTGTGTTTTCATCACTCTCCAACTGTCTATCGTTCAATCATACACGAAAATATTCGGGAAATAAATAAAAATTATACAAAATTCACGTAACATTTTACTTAATACACAAACGAAAATGATTAATACAAATTTACTATTCGTCAAATTGTCAAATTTCAAACTTCCTCTCTCTCACTTCAAATTATGTTTGATTGCGCCACCAGGTGATTAATTTAACATAATATATTTAATGGATGAGATTAAAAGATGATCTTATTTACAAAATTCAACCGAATGATTGTTTAATTCCATGACTTTTACAAGATACCGATGATCACGGTTGCTAAGCCTTATCTACACTACACAGTACAGTACATAGGCCTAATGTTTTTGCATGAAGTAAATTATAAGAATGTTGTTGTAAAAATTGATCGAATTATTCAATTCACAAAATTACCATCAAATTCTGATATATTCGAGAGTTTAAAGCATTTTTTTGAGTGCTTAATAAGTCATAATACTTAATGTAGTTTTTTTTGTTTACATTACACATAACTTAAAAAGAAGATAAATATATTTTATGTGAATTTTAGAAGAAATTTACTGTTTATAATAATAAGCAGGCTGATTTAATATGAAAAGAATTGCCGAAAGAATTGTATCTTTGACAAAAAATGACAAAGTAAACGTAGAATATAAAATCTAGCATTAAATATATTATTAAAGTAATAATCATTTTTTAACAATCTATTAGAAAATATACTGATATAAATTAATATTAAAAATTTGTTTCTGAATAAATCGTAAATCATTGCTTAATTTTAAGAATATTAGAATATTAATGTATTGTGATACATTTTTATAATACTAATTACAATCATCTACATTTTTTTAATATTATTTTATTATTATTTTAGTATATGTTATGATATAAGATGAGGGATCAAACCATGTACATAATTAAGATTTTCTATGGTTTAAATCATTGTTTATAGTATTGAAAATTTAGATGAAAAATAGTTACCCATGTTTTTATAGTAGTTAATTAAGAATTCTAGTGAACAGTGATGTGATAATGTCATTTATAAAACAGAAAAATGTTAATCTTATATATTACATGATATCTTGTATTATTATTTTTTCACGTAGTGAAAATAATCTAATAATAATTTTATAATTTGAATAACGTATAGAATGTTTGTACAGTAATCTTGATTAGCTAAAGTGGCACCATCTGGTGTTAAGTTAAATAATTAAAATTATTTCCTAGAAAGCAATTGTATTTAAAAAAAATATATACAGTACAGTATATATAAATATAGTTTTTCCAAAAGATACATTCTCATCAAAATTTGTTAATTGCATAATATTTAAATATATCGTTAATTATGATTTTGATTATACTTAAGTTTGAATTATACAGTGTAATTTTTTTTTAAATTAATTCTGTAATAGTATGGATTTTTCATTTATATAAAAGCACTTCAATCAAATATAATCAATGTCTTCTATTTTTCAAATTATATTTATTAACAATAAATTTATTTTTCAGTATCTTTTTAGTTAAATTTCAAAATAAAATTATATAATGATTACATTTCAAGAAAATTTTGAAATCCATAAATTAATTATTTGTTGTACACAATAAAAGCCTTTTAATTATTTTAACACTGTTTTCTTAATAATGAATGAAACAAAATTTAATTTGTAGTTTTAAATAAATACAATTTTTAACAACAAAATATATTAAATAAAGAATATAAATACTTAGCAAAATATATAACTGTTTTGCTTATTATTAGATTATGTATACTGTATTTATTAAGTTTTTCTAATTAGATTTTGTTTTTACTATCAATTTAGTATGGGATACATATGTATTAGTTTTCTATTGTGAAGTGATTTAGAATTAAATTAGTTTAGGCCTGTTTAGTGTATAATTTAGATTAGTTTATAAAAAACTTTTAATCAAAATAATTGGATTAAAATGTAAAATTTTATAAATATGGGTTTCTCAATAAATATATAAATATATATATTTTTATTTTAAATTTTTTCAGTTTAAGCTTTTGCTTATTCAATATGATAGATGAAATTTACAATCTAATCTGACATTTTAGTTACAAATGAAATTAAACTAGTTTAAAATGTAATATTTTGATTTTATATGAATTTATATTTAATTTTTTCATAAATATAACAAAATTATAATTACATAATCCTTATTAATGAAAAGAAAAAAATATATAACTTTATATATATATATATTAATTGTTCTCCATTAATTGAACTAAGATTTATTTAGGAAATTTACTAGTTTCATCACCTGGTACCTGTACATAATCTCATCTACATTTAATGAATAGTTATTGAAGTTATGAGCATGTATTAACTTATTTTTGTTAACTAATTCTGTTAATTAGTATTACAACCTTTCACAAAATTTTAAATAAATAATTTTTACTGTTTAATTGTATATACAGTATTTAAAATCATGACAATATTAAATAAGGAAATAATAAAATAATCTAGGAACCATCTATGATGATAAGAGCCAGGAGCTGTCATTAAAAATAAGATACAATAATGTGCTTCTAAAATTATTGATTGATATTGATTAAAGTAACATTACCATTATATAAATTATGAATATAAACTGTATCTATTTTACATTTAACATAGTATAAATCCTTTATTTTCATGAGTTTAGTATGCGAATTTATTTATTCACATTAAATATCAATAGCCATTTTATAGTATTCGTTAAGTTGAAAACAGTATTTTTACAATTATAATTAAAGTGTGCTAAATATGGGTACAATGCACCTGATTTTCTGGAGAGATTAATATGATTTATTAGAAATAGCAAAAAATATTTTGTTTAATTTATATCTTTATTTTAATTTGAAAGAAATAACAGATTATGAAATTTTTATTTTTCCTGATTATTTTATAAAAATTTGCTAAAATAGAAATAATTGCAAATAAAATTATTTTATTATTTTGTTCAAGTTTTGATACATTGATATAAGAAGAAATTTCTGATTTCTTTTTAAACAATATATAAAAAAAGTTATCATTTTGTATTCGTTGATAGCAAAAAATTAACTATCTATTTTTTATATTTGGCATTTGACCTGAATTTATTGTGTGCATCCTGATAGCTATCTTTTAATAATAATCCTATGGAAAGTTATAAATTGGGTATACTTGAAGCTTGCAGTCATTAACTGTAGATAGAGACAGATTCAGGTTGATTATTGTAGCTTAGAAAACATAGACATTATTATTTTTTTATTTCAGTTTACTTTAATTACCTAAATGTGAATTACAGCATAGATAAATAATTTTTTTTGTATTAATTTGTATTATAAAACAATACTTCATGTAAATATTAGCCTAATGTTAGAAATATTGCATTAGTTTAACCTAAATACAATAATAGAAAATTAATAGTCTTGATTAATAGGAACTTAATATCTTTCTCATGAATTCAGTATTACAGATTTATCATGCTTAATGTTTTCCAAAAATGTAGGGTATAATATAGAGAGGTAATGTATATGAAATATATTAAAAATGTAAATATCAAATATATAGGTACTTTCCATTGAATAATTTAATCAAATGTTGCTTGTATAATTTTGGATTTAGAAAAAGCATTTAAAGATATTATTTATCATTTTAAAAGTGCATCATTTTATCATTTAGAATATAGTAATGAAAATAGGCTATATGTAAGGATTATAATATTATGCTTTCTGACTTTGAATTGCTTAAATCAAAATGATTTTTCTAATAGAAAGTTATTTCTGATTATTTATTAATGCAAAAAAGAGTAGCAGTGTTATTAAAAGTTATGTGGTATTAGAGATGTGGGGTTGAAAATATAATTAATTTACAGTTTAACATCATAAATATTTAGTATCTACATTTCTCACAGATGTAATATTTTCTTTTTAATCACTGTATATTTGTATTATACATTAATAATGCAAACCAACAAATATTAACATTACAATATATTATTGAATTTTTTGTATTTTCACATTTCATATGGTAATGACTATATAACTTTTTTGGGAATGAATATTTTGTATATGATTAGTGATTAACTATAAAATAGAAATGAGACTACTATTATGAGACAAATTTTCAAGCATATATTTAATATTCTATATAGTAATTATCAAGCAAGAGTAAGTTAATGTTTTTGAATCTATAATGCCCCTGTAATAAAACTGTTCCTGTTTTTATTTGAAATAGTTTGAGTAATAACCTGCTTATTACAAAATGATAATATGATTATGGTAGCTAAATTAAAGTGATAGGATTATAATATTGTTACAATTATATTTAAGCCAAACAATTGCTGGATTAGATCAGGCTTTATACTGTTACTATTAATAATTAAATTGGCCTAGAGGTAGGCCAAATTATTATTATATTTAATTATAATTATTAAATTTAATAAGAGATGGCACCTAATGCCTATCTATAGGCTAAATTACTTAGCATTTAATTATTAATAATAATAGCAGTAATAGAGCCTGATCTAATCTGGCAATTGTTTGGCTTTAATAAAACTATTGGGCTTACATATGTTTATACAGTTGACCCCCCCCATAACATGGTAGATATGTTCTGGTTTTTATGAATCCATTTTGTACGAGTCCTTAAATACCCGAGCCAATCACAGCCCAGCACATATGCAGTTTACGAACTATGGCTGTTTGAAAGGTTTTCTTCCATAAAATTAATCGATTCTAGACTAATTTGACTCAACATTTCCAAAATATGTATAATTTTTTGGTAATAATCCATATAAACTATGCTATAAACAAAAAACTGTAGGATTACTTACTGAGTGTGTACCATTGAACGACGCCATTGCTTAAACTTGTTTTCGTTGTGGAGCTTGTCATCGACTGGCTCTTGCGTGCTTCCTTATAAA